GGGGGGTGGATGCCACCCCCTCTGAGGGGGTAAAAGAGAGAGAGAAAATCAAGTTGAGTTATATACAGGCATTCATGTCATTTTAAAGATAACATTTCGGAATTAGCCAACTAAGAATTTCAGCGTTAAATACGTGCAATATCCCTTTTAGTATTGCAATTTCTGAAAAGTACAAAATACATTAAAAAGTTCGAGTTCTTTTGCTGGACACGACGCTTGTCCATCTTTTCCTCATGAATTAGCCATTTCAAAGAAATATAATTATGTTTATATATTTTGGCAATTTTCGTCACATAAACCTCATGTTCACATTTAACCGCTTTTGTTCTTAACTGGAGGGTTTCGGTGGATGTAATCGATCAGCGTAAACATTTTGGGCTCTGCGATTTAGAAAACCAAATTGATAGCTATCGTCATTAAACAGTATGGTTTACTCTCAAACTAGGTATACAAACATAAATAGTTTAATTCATGAAAACTATTCCCAGAGGGTAACGGAATATTTGGATATATAGTCTACCTTAGTGATTTTTGGATATCACTTAATTACCTCAGGTGTTTTTAAGGCAGCATACACCGTAAAGGATCTCTCTTCCTAAGGATGTGGCCGAAACTCGTCTCCTTTTACACAGTTGGTGACTTAACTGTTTGTGAGGGTTTTGATAGCGCAACTTTTTTGCAGGTTATGTCCCTTTCTCTCATCAAACCTGTCGTGACTGACGATTCTTGAAAATGTTAATTGAAACCTGAACCAAAATACTACTAGCAAGCTTGTAGTTCACTTTATGCAAATAAATATCGGTTGTTAATTGTTTGATTCAGTTCCTGCCTCAATATTCACTCTCGCAAAGGGGTCCTTGTTCAAATAACTTCAGAAAGTATCAAAAAAGGAATGCGGGCTCTGAAACAGTTCAGGTAAGCCGCAAGTAGGTGGATAAACTCGTGTTTAACTTGTTTGACATTTTGAGATTGATATTCTGGCAAATCTACCAGAAGACTATGTTCAGCGCCGTAAAAGTTATTTTATCCTAGTCAAATCGCCATAAATTTTTCACCACTATCTAAACTTAAGTTAAAGTTTGTCAAAATGTAGTCTTAAGTTGAAGGTATTACCATGACATCGATTAACAAAATGTTTTGAAATCAGTTAAAGACGAATCTTAACAATTGAAAATCCAACATCAGTAAGTTAAAGTGTGGTGTTTGGCGTATAGAAACCTCCATGAGAATTTTAAAAAAATCTGTATGTTTGAATAAAGCGCAAATAAATTTCTAACCTTGTATCGTTAAATATTTTTTGTTGAGAAATGAACCAATAAGAAAATTCTAAATAACACAAATTACTGATCAGTCTTAAGTAGCATCGCAATTTTGATATCATTTTTCCATGCTTGAAAATTTTGGTGCATTTTCTTTTTTGCGATCTTGGAAACACCATGCCAAGTACAACTTGATTTTTAACGTTTTTTTATACATCTCAAGATCGGCTTGGTAGAATTGTTTAGGTAATCTTCATGATGTGTGTAATAATGTGTCTAAAGTTTCGTTAACCAAGTTCCCCCGGCAAAACGAGGCAAACAGCAAAACCTTTCTTCCGAAAAAAAGTTTATTTGCAAAAGAATAAAAAAAGTTATTTTCATATCAATAGCTCCGCACTAAGCCTCCTCGCTTTAAATCAGAAATAGCGTAATCGATTAAGTGAAACAATTCTTCGAAATATATGCCCCTATGGGGCTACTCAACAGCGTTTATCATATATACGGGAGAGGCTCCGTCCCGAGGTGCAACCCCATCCCCCTACGTACCCTTCGTATACTTTCCATTGCTAAAAGTAACCCTTTCACATATTAACAGTAAGTCTTCTTTTCATTATATGTAGCGTAAAATAAACTAATGACAGATTTCCGGCCCTACCTTGTCATTTATTAATTTGAGGCCATATGATAAGCTCAGAACATAGTTTAACACAAGAGAAATTGCACTCCACGCCTTCTGTTCCTGATCAGGAATAGAAGTTCGGGGAATGATTACTAACTAATAATAATTAATTATTCAGAAAAACATTGATCTGAAGGCCAACAAATTCTGGATAGTCAGAAAGCAATTGTTAACGCTATTAATAGACTTTTACAGATGTGTGGTTTTAAAGTCTCAAAAACAAAATGAATAAAAGAACACATACAAACTTACAAAAAGAATGAACGATTTGGAATTGAAGTTATTTTAAATTTATGGTTGACGAGTCTGAATATAAAGCAGAGTAACAACAATCCCGGTCAAACATTTCCTCCCGACAAGGGCTCTTGCCCCCGACTATCTCAAAAGGTGGGATAAGCGGGGTGGCGACCAGTTCAAACCGTTATAAAAAAAATTCGCTTTTTCTATAAATGTATCTAGCATTAGTAACTTAAAACCGCTCTAAATAAGGCGATGTTGCACTTGGCAGTACGGCAATGTATATGGTTCATCCCTTTTGTGAGACCAAATGCATAGAACTCTATACTTTTAAGCTTAA